GTCTCACTCTGTTGCCCAGACTGGAGTGCAGTGGTCACTCCTGGCCACCGCAGCCTCGACCTGCTTGGCTCCAGCGATCCTTCCGCCTCAGCCTTCCGAGTAGCCAGAAGTACAGGTGCGCACTACCACGACCGCTAATTTTTTGATCTATTGTAGAGATGAGGTATCGCCAAGTTGCCCAGGCGGGTCTTGAATCCTCAGGCTCAGGTAATCCACTCACTTCAACCTCCCAAAGCACAGGATTACAGGCTCAAACACTAAGCCCAGCTATCAATCCTTTTCTTATAGTATTATGATAGATGTTCAAGGTCCACTATATGAGTGAAAACATGTGATACTCAGATCTTTGTTTCTGTGAGAGATCACTCAGTATTATAGACTCTAGTTCTATCCAGATTGCTGCAAAATTTACGATTTTGTTCTTTTTTATGGCTGCGTAGTATTCCATCATGTATATGTACCACATTTTTTAATCCAGTCCTCTTTTGATGGACAACATGTTTGGTTTCAGGTTCTTGCTATTGTGAACAATACTGCGATAAACATACGTGTGCAAGTATCTTTTTTATAGAGTGATTTGAGTTCTTTAGAGTATATTCCCAATAGGGAGATTGCAAGAAATATCTTAATGTTAGCATCAGCCGGGAAAAAGTTTGTTTGTGACTTTTTTGGCAAGATTATTATAGCACTAACATCTTTGTTTTTTGTGAATCTAAGCAAAACAATTAACATCTGTGTTTTTTGAAGTTTTGAGTAAAGTTATTATTGAAGCAGGCTACATCCAGCCTCTGCAGACTAGAGGTCACACCACCTGAATTTTACTAAATCAACATTTTCAGGTGCAAACATCTGGTCAAGTTCTTGTTGGAGCCAGGCCAGAAACACAAGGACCTTGCCAAACTTGAGTATTTTTAGGACATAAGGACCTTGTCAGCCTATGTCATTTTTCCTTCAAAATAAATTAATGATCAATTGCAGTTATAAACTCGATTCTTTTTTGAGTTGGAGTCTCACTCCAAGACTGAAGTGCAGAGGCACGCACCTCTATCTGATGGGCTCAGGTGATCCTTCTACTTCACCTGTCCAAGTTGCTGAAACCACATGCATGTGCCACCATGCCTGGATAATATTTATTTTTTATTGCAGAGACAAGGTCCTGCCATTTTGTCCAGACTGGTCTCAAAACTATGGGCTCAGGCAATCCTTTCACCTAGGTCTCCCAAAGTGCTGGAATGACAGACTTGAGTCACTGTGCCTGGCCATGAACCTGATTTTTTGATTTGCCTTATTGAAGGTCCCTGATGACATTATTATTTGTTAGAGGTTTCGGCTTCATTGGCTGGGACTAAGTTTTGATTTTCTCTAACCAGAGCATATACCCAAAATGACTCAGGGGATACTTAGGTTTGCAGGCAAAACAAAGTTAAAGCTGTTTAAGACCTAACTCATCATATTTGCTCAGGAATTTCTCAGGCCTGGTCTCCAATTACATTTTAGTTTAGCACTCTTCTTTCCCTGACTATATGCCATTAAGGCAGCAGTTCCTCGCTTGCAACTAAGATGATGGGATGAGGACCTGAGGCCTTTGGCCATTCTGTCACTTTATTATGTCTACTCCTCTCAGCTCTGGCCTGGCCTCTCTCAGTCCATGGTCACTCCAGCTGCAGCAGCGGCAGTGAGCAATAACAGAGACAAATTGAATATGCCTTAAGGCCAGCTGGGTTCTTTGGCTCAAGCCTGTAATCCCAGCACTCTTGGAACCCAAAGTGAGAGAATTGTCTGAGTCCACAAGTTGACAAACAGCCTGGACATTCACTGCAACCATAGGGTTGCTCTCCTGTATGAACTCTTTGATGTAATGTAAGTTATGACTTATCAAGGAAGCCTTCCACACATATTTCACATTTCTCTATTGTTGAGTTCTTTGATGTTTCTTAAAGCCTGACTTATCATTAAAAGCTTTCCCCCATTTCTGGCACTCACACAAGTTTTCTCCTGTATGAGTTCTCTGGTATAAAATGAGCAGGGACTTCTGGCTGAAGGCTTTCTAACAAATTTCTGCATCCACAGGATTTCTGTCCTGTGCAGGTTCTTTGATGCTTTATGAGGTCTGACTTTTGGGAAAAGGCTTTCCCACAGTCACCACAGTGCTTCTCTTCTGTTTGAATTTTCCAATATTTAATGAGTTTTGAATTATTGCTGAATGCCTTCTCATATGCATCATATGTGCTATATTGTTCTCCAGTAGGAATTTTCTCATGCTTGGTATAATGAAAAAGTTTGTCATAACCATTAAATTCATCTTCATTTCTTTCATTGATTCTATTTTGAATAATTTATACAAAATTAGGTTTGAGATCTTTCCAAAGTGTATTGAATGTATGAGGAATTGGGTTAAAGAGACATGAAGGTTTGAGCTCAGATGAGAAAATATTTTCCCAAATGTATGATATCTGTGAAGACTCTGTAATTTCATGTTTGCTTTGGTTTTCTGGATGTCCATCAGTATGACCATTGACTTGCCACATATCTTCCAGGAAGGAGACCAATTTTTCCATGGTCATCATGTAATAGAAGGGGAGAATCTCATAGCAAAGGCCAAGGAGAGGAGAGAAAATGAGACAAGGTAGAGAATGAAAGTCTGAGACATTTAAAAGAGGAAGGAGAAAAGAGTTTAAAAAACGATGAGAGGTATGGGATACACACAAAATGATGAAAAAGGGAAATTTATGAATACATGAGAGTATAAGAAAAGGGAGGCAGAGCCATGGATTAGAGGGGTGGAGGCAAGGTAAAGCTAGTAAACTGAAGATGTCAGGGAGAAACACTAACCAGGAAAGAAAGTCTCAAGGAATGCCAGAGAGAAATTTGTTCAAAGAACGTAAAAGAAGAACACATCATCTTTCAAAAGCCAAGCAAAGGAGTTCTAATATGGACAAATTAAGAAGTGGAGGCAATATTAAGGTATGTGGGGAGCTTACGTCAACTATTCTTCCATCAGAACTTCCTTCTTCAATGAGAGCCTAAGACCTTCAAAAAGATTTCTCCAAACAACATTTCAGAGGTGCCTCCCATTTCTGACCAACCGAGATGTTACTTGCAATTCTCCCATCCAGCTATATTTTATCTATTGATTTGTTTGTTTATTTATTTATATTTGAGTCAGAGTTTCACTCTGTTGCCCAGACTGGAGTGCAGTGACATGATCAAGGCTCACTGCAGCCTCAAATTCAGAGGCTTAGGTGATGCTTCTACCTGAGCCTCCCAAGTAGCTGGGACTATAGGCACGTGTCACCATGTTTGGCTAATTTTTTAAAAAGTTTTGTACAGAAGAGGTCTTGCTATATTGCCCAGAGTGGTCTTGAAATCCTGGGCTCAAGCAATCCTCTCGCCTCAGCCTCTCAAAGTGCTGGGATTACAGATGTCAGCTGCTGCACCTGGCTATGCTGTTTTGTCACTTATCGGAATGCATCTGACTCTGAATTTCTTCCTCTATTATCCATGATTTTCCTTGCTCCAACTGGAACAATGTGTCAGCTTTGGTAACTTGATACCATATGTAAGAAAAATTTAGAGACCCATGTACCCAAATTATCAGACTTCAAGACCACTGAAACATGGCAAAGATTACATTAATGTGAAGAATAATTTGCATCTTGGCTAAATAAAG